GGTCTGTTCCACAATCAGCTCCTGGCCTGGTTTTGGCTGAAGATATTGAGCTTTTCCACCGCCTCTTGCCACAGATATAGTCAATCTGATTCCTGTGTGTTCCATCTGGTGAAGTCCACGTGTATAGCCTCCGTTTGTGTTGTTGAAAAAAGGTGTTTGCAATGAACAAGTCGTTGGTCTTGCAAAATTCTACCATAGGAGTTCCAGCATTATTTCTGTCACCAAGGCCAAATTTTCCAACTACCGGTGATTCTTCTTTGTTTCCAACAAAAAAATTTGGAGAGCAGATAGCAGTAAGTAAAACATGTTCTATAGAACCAAAAATAAAGCAAAGTAAGGGAAAGAGTTCCATTTCAATTGGAAAGTCTGGTCCACGCTTATGAAAGATTCGCCTGTAATGGTTAGCATTGACCTTTGTGAGGACTGGTACCTGTACCAGGTGTGAATACAGGTAGGTATAAGGAAGGACGTTCAGGCAGGAAGAAACTTGGAAAGGAGAGAAAAGCAAAGGTGCCCTCTTTTCTTCATGCTCAGAAAATTGTTAGGGGGAAAAAAAAAAAAGAGTCCCCAAACTAAGGAATAGGCCAACTGTGTTCTTCACTTTTGCTAATAGCTTGAGGAATTCACTGATGGGTGTTCATTTTAAAGTAAATTTGTTACCTGACACTCTGCTATCTGATCTTGGTTTGATTCTGTTTCATATTCTTGGGGTAAATGAGATTTATCAGACACTACTGTTGGGAAATGAAACACTGTTATTCCATTGACAGGCACCAAACCAAACCAAACTCACTGCCATGGAGTTGATTCTGACTCATAGCCACCCTTACAGCACAGAGTAGAACTGCCCCATAGGGTTTCCAGGGATGTAAATCTTTAGGGAAGCAGACTGCCTCATCTATCTCCCGTGAAGTGGCTGGATGCAAACTACCAACGTTTTGGTTAGCATCCAAGTATTTTAACCACTGTACCATAAGAGCTCCTTATTAACAGGCACTCAAAAAGCCAAACTCACTGCCATCAAGTCGATTCTGACTCATAGCGACCCTCATGGGTTTCTGAGGTGGTAAATCTTTACCAAACTGTCAACCTTCTGGTTAGCAGTGAAATACCTTAGGCGTTACACCACCAGAGCTCCTTCCATTAACAGGCATAGGTGGATCCATATCACTGACTTCGTGGTTGCATTGTTTTCTGTTTCTGAGATAGACTGAGAGCACCCTGGCATCTCACAGCTTCCTGCCCCAGCTTTCCTGGGTCACAACTTACTAAGATCATTACTAAATTATCTACTGATGGAAGGATTATGCTGCTTTCTGTACCTTCACCTCTTTTGACACTTTTCTTGTCACAGATCTCAGGCATGTGCTTAATATTAATTTATCTAATAAATTTTGTTTTTTTAACAAAGAGGACTCTCCTCTAACTAGACCGGAAGAGGCATCCTGTGTTGTGGTAGAACGACTATAGCTACTCAATCATGCCTTTACTAGCCTGGAGAGCTAATAAATAACTTGATAGGTAAAATGTGCCCTGGGTAGTACAAATGGTTAACATGCTTGGCTGCTATCTGAAAAATTGGAGGTTCAGGTCTCCCAGAGGCACCTCAGAAGAATAGGCTTTGCAATCTACTTTGGAAAAAAAGTCAGCCATTGAAGATTCTATGGAGGACAGTTCTATTCTATCACACATGGAGTCACATGAGTCAGAATCAACTTGAAAGCAACTGAAAAAATAGGTAAACGACAGCAGATGTCCCACAATTAGAGATTCTATGAACTGAGAAAATCCAGTAATATCAACTACACTTGGGTACCAAAGCCATGAATTATCCATAGTTCTTAACCCTTTAGGAATATAAACTCTGTTGTCTATCTGAGGAGACCCTCTTCCAGGAAACTGGCCTTCTGTAGATACCCACTAAACTTTGCAGCTATTTCAGGGGATTGACTGTCAATGGCCACATGGGTTGTATGTCACACATTACCTGGTTGCTAGCATTGCAGCAGGCATCTTAATACTACAATCTTTAATTCAGTGTCTTCTGATTCAGATTTATGTTCACAGCTCCTTTCGTGTATTATTTCATTTGTTCATTCATTCATTCTAGAAATAAGTATGTGCCTATTTGGTGCCAGGCATGGAAATACTGCAGTAAACTCAACTGATGTGGTCTGCCTTCAAGACACTTCCAGGCTAGTGAATACCTCAACTGTCCCTCCTCACATCTGCTTGTCTTACACATGAAAACCATGCAAGGCTCTCCTTAAGCCCCTTCCGCAAGTCACTGCTGGGTGCCTGGTTCATCCCCCAATATCTCGCCTTCCTACCATGGCCACTTCCTCTTGACTGCCAATAGGAAGATAGGTGAGGGTAGAAAAGAGGAACCCTGAGCCTTCCCTCCTCACTTTCTAAAAAATTTTTCTGAAGAAAAGCAGCAGCAAATAAAAAAAATAAATAAATAAAATTAAAATAAAAAACTTTAGAAATGTATGTAATCTCCTACCAATCAGATATACCATCGTCAATTTTGTAACTATTTCCTAAAAGTCAACCAATCACTGATTTTCTACTGAATTTCCTTGTATTTACTTATATAAACTCTCTGAACTGTCTCCTCCTTGGATCACTTAGTTCAGCATTCCCTGGACTTTGTGACTCCCAGTTTGCAAGTTGCCTTACCCCTCAATAAAAGCTCTTTATTTTTCAAAAAAAAAAAAAAAAAAAGAAAAGCAGCAGCAAGAGAATCGGAGAGAACTCCACTTTATTATGGAAAGTTAAAAAAACAAAACCACAACTGATAAGGAAGGAGAGGCGAGGAGTTTCCTAAGTCACCTCACACTCCTACAATTCAATTGTGAACCACTAGGAAGAACAGCATTAAATAACTATCTGGGAGTACAAAATCAAGATTCCCAGCTTTCCCTCTTGGGGAAGACTGAGGCACATTAATACTGAGCAAAAGTGGGAGGAGCCACGCCCCAGACCACTCCCAATGAGGCGCCTGCTGGAGGTTGGTAGAGGAAATCCCTAAGGACTCACCAAGTGGCGTGGCTTGTAAACCTGGGGTTTTGGCAGCATGGGGTTGGGAGCTGGTGGGATTTGTAAACCAGACTGTAGTCAAGACAGGAGGCAGGAGCTGTAAACAAAAGGGTGGTCATCTAGGGATCAGAGTGTGGGCCAGGCCTCTGGGAGACAAATGAGTGCTTAACTGCTGAGAGTACCTCAGGCTTGGTGAGGAGCTAAGGAAGGCTGTGGAGACAGTGCCCCTGCCCATAAAGATGGGGGTGTTCCATCTTCACACACAGTGGCCTCTATGCTTCTCTCTAGGGCTTGAGACTCACTCTTGGTTCACCTAGATGCACCAGCACATTTGACACACCAGGGACATTGGGTTAGGGTTAAGTTGGGCAATTGGCTCTGCCCCCAGAAACAAGACAAGAAAAGCAAGCTGGGGGATGTTGGTTGTTCTTCTCTGCCACACTCATTGTCAGAGTCTGTCTGCTCAAGATCTTCTGGGCTCCAGGATCTTCAGTTCTGGCAAGCAGGGGAATATATCTTTCCTGTGTGGGGAGAGGGTCACCTCCGGCAGGACTCATCTGTGCAAGAGGAGGCAATAATAATAGACAATGAGTGAAGGCCTTTTCACCCACCCCTGCCCTCCTTGCCCAAGCTGAAAGGGCAGTTGGCATATAAAACCAAGTCACTGCCGTCGAGTTAATTCCAACTCATAGCGACTCCTCCTTGGGGTTTCTGAGGCAGTTTATCTATGGAAGTAGATAGCCCAGTCTTCCTTCTGAAGAGTGGCTGGTAGGTTTGAACCACCAGCCTTCTGGTTAGCAGTCAAATGCCTTAGGTACTACGCCACATATAGGAGATCTTATGTATCTTTCGCTTCTTGAGTGTTTGTTACTATCAGTAACAGCAGCCATCACTCAATTAGCTTGTATCTGTGCCAGGCACTCTTAATATTTTTGTTAGGTGTCGCTGAGTCATTTTTGACTCACGCAACCCCATGTGACAGAGTAGAACTGTGGTATGGTTTTCTAGGCTGTAATCTTTATGGGAGCAGGTCACCAGATCTTTCTCCCGCGGAGCTGCTAGATGAATTCAAACAGCCAGTCTTTCAGTTAGCAGCCAACTTCTTAATCATGTGCATCACCAAGGGCTCCTTCAGACACTCTCCTAACTCTAATTTAATAATCATACAGGCAGAGGTTAGGTAACTTTGTATCCAGCCATGATTCTGGATGCTTCACAAAAATCACTTAATCCTCTCAATAATTCCTGGAGGTAGTTAGAATTAACTCCAATTCAGAGATGGAAAAATGGAGGCCAGAGAGGTCAAACGATTTCCCTGAGGATACACCAAAAGTAAGAGACAAGCTGGAATTCAAATATGGGTTTGTCCGACCCTGTGCTTTCAACTGCACTGCAGCGCCCAGAAAGAGCCCTGGTCTTGGAATCTGAGTCCTGATGTGCATTTTGTTTCCCAGTGCCTCAGTTTCCCCATCTGTGAAAGGAGTGGGCCAGGCTGGGGGTCCTGCCAAGCCCCTTCCAGCACCAACATTAAATCCTTCATTGTTCCTAAGGCAATTGACTGGTAATAACCAGAAGGCTGGTAGTTCAAACCACCAACCACTCCACAGAAGGAAGACTGAGCAATCTACTTCTGTAAAGATTTACCACCTCAGAAACCTAAAGGGGGTCCCTATGAGTCGGAATGGACTTGATGGCAGTGAGTTTGGTTTGGTTTTGGTTCTTCCCTCCCAGGCTGCAGTGCCAGCCCCCAACAACAGGGGGAGCCCTCAGACCGACAGAGCCTCTCTCACCCACTATGAGGGCCTTAGTGCGCAGCCCGCCTCCTTGGAGCTCCCGCTGCAGGAGCAGCAGCTCCTCTTCATCCTCATCGTCGTCGGGCTGAGCTACTAGGGGGCTGGTAGTATTAAGGGCCTCTGGCTCTGGGCCCAGCTCCTCCAGCACCGAACTCTCCGAGGGGTACTGGTACGTTGTTTCCAGGGCTGTCTCGTTGAAGGAGATCTTGAGCTGGGTGTGAAAGAGGAGAGGAAAGGAGGTCAGCCTTGAGGTCAGCCCCCTGAAGGCGAATGGGGAGCAGGTGGGAGGTGGGGAGGCAGGGGCTAGGCTAGAGAGCCCTGCTAATCTCCCCTCCCCAGCCACTCCTACATCCAGTTTCCCTTTTGATAATGGCTCGCCCATGCCAGATTTCCCCTCTTCACTCATATCATTTCAAAACCATCAGACTTTGGCCTGTGCTCTGGCAGGGGCTGTGGAGGCAGAAGTGAGTATTACAGACCAAGGTCCCTGCCATTTAGAGTGTGGACGGCAGAGGGGTGAAAAGAAATTAACATCCATCCAGATAAATCCTGTGAGCAGAACAACGGCACTGCCCCTGCGATGGAGGCTGCTCCGAGGAGAGATTTGACCTGATCAGGCAGGAAAGAGGTGAATGGGCAGGGAGTCCCAGGCAAAAGGGCACAGGCACATTCCTTTCTATGTTCTCAGACCCTTGCTTTTAGCCCTGGGAAACCCAGAACCCTAGTCACTTGCCCCTCACTCCTCTCCTATGGCTGGAATAGACCCAGAGCAAAGGGGATCTGGAGCTGGAAGGGACAGAAAACCAACAGTCCTAGAGGAACCAAGAGACCTCTGGCAATACACCAGGGAGAAGATGAGCTCTGAGACCCTGAAAGGTGCAGGTGGCGAGGTGACAAGGACAGAGAGGAAAGTCCACACAGAAACAAGTACCAGAGGGACAGGCAGAGGCAAAGGCAAAAGACCAGAGAAGGAATACAGAGGGAACAGAAAATCCTTCTTAAATACCATCCCAAGGGCAGGCTGAGCCCCAGCTGTTCTAATTGCCTTTCTACCCTTCCCCTTTGCCCTCTTAAGAAGCTCAGGGTGAAGGGGCAGGGTGGGATTAACTCTGGTAACCAAAGAGATTAAGAAGAGAAACAGGAGGATTCCATGTGCACCACTTGGAAAGGTCCAGATGATCCACTCAGGCCTTCCATGGAGTCAGGTTAGGAAGACAAGGGGCTGTGCCCCTGTACCCTGAGTCTCTTCATGGACTGGGGTGTGGGAAGAGAGAAGCCAAGAGAGTGGCTGGATAGCTGGTTTGCTCAGGGCTGTGTGGGATGGGAGAACTGGGTCCTCATGGGAAGCTGGAGCTCAGGGGCGACATCACTCTTTGACTTCAAACCCTTTAATGTTTCCCCACTTCAGAGCAAAAGCCAAAAGTCTGACCGTGGCCTTTAGGGCCACATGTGCCACTCCCCCCTCACCTCTCAGGCTTCCTTCCCCACTCTAGCCAAACTAACTTTGATTTCCTCCAAGCCCACCAGGTGCACTCCCACCTCAGGGACTTTGCACTGCTTGTTCCCTGTGCCTGAACACTCTTCCCCCACACACCTCCCATGGCGCCCTCCCTCCCAGTCACTCCATTATAAAGTTACCATATTCACTCCCCCACAACTCCTAGAGCTCTAGGTTCCATTTACCTCTGCTTTAGTTTTTTCTTTCATAATCACCACCTTCTAAAGAATTTACTTATTACCTTCACTGTCTGCTTGCCTCTTTTCCTGCCAGAGGGTAGGAATTTTTGTGTTTTGTCGATGACATAGCCCTAATATCTAGAATGTGCTGTGCACACAGTACCTGCTCAATCAGTGTTTGTGAAATGAATCAATAGAAGCATCAAAGTTGCTACAACAGAAGAGGAGGGATCATCCAGAACTCTGATGAGATCCCAAAGGGGACCAAGGCTGAGGAAACAATGTGGAGGGAGCCCAGCCTGTGCAGAGTAGACTCTGGTAAAGCTGCTAAGAGAATCAAGTGGCAGCAAATAGACACCATACATCCCAGCTTCTCGAAAAAGGCAACTTCTGGCTCTGTTACTGACAGATTTGCCCAAGCCTTTGGGAACCCACTTCTGTTGTCTTTTCACATCCCCTATTGGGATAAAGGAGCTCTGGTAGTGTAGTGCCTAAGGCACTTGACTGCTAACCAGAAGGTTGGCTGTTCAAACCCACCAGCCACTCCTTGGAAGGAAGATGGGGCAATCTACTTCCGTAGTGATACCACCTCGGAAACCCAAGGAGGGGTTGCTATGAGTCGGTCCGACTTGATGGCACATAACAACAACAACATTGGGATAACAAAGGTCCCCAGGCAGTGGCATCACTAGAGTTGGTGTCACCAGTGCAGTAACTCATGGTGTTACCTCTCCATGGACCACCTCTCATACCAGATCGCACAGAATCCAGCCAGCCCCAGGGCTCCAGCAGCACATGGCTACCTCAAGGTGCTCCCCAACTCCTCAGCCTTGGCCTAGTGGCACAGTCTATGGGCCACCCTGTGCCCCAGGTGCCCCATGGCTACCTCCTCCTACACCAGCACCTGGCCCAGCTGCACCATGGCGCACGTACCCAGCCTGAGGCTTGCCAGCGTCTCATGTACCAACGCCCACAGCTTGCATGGAACAAAAATTTTATACAGTCATTTTGGTGTCATCCCTCTGACAATATTGCCAGGTGCAGTTCACACCCCCTACACCCCTAGTGACCACAATGTCCCTGGGTGGTGCAAGTAGTTTACAATTAGCTGCTAACCTAAAGGTTGGTGGTATGAACACACCCAGCAGCCCTATGGAAGAAAGGCCTAGCAATCTGTTTCCATAAATATTGTAGCCAGAAAACCCCCATGGGGCAGTTCTACTCTACAACACGTGATTGCCAGGAGTCAGAATTGACTTGATAGCAAGAGGTTTGGTTTTGAGATAACAATCTCCATCATCTGTTATCCACTCTGAATAAAGATGCCTTTGATTTGCTCTCAGTCTATGTCTGTCTCCCCTTATCCTGCCCCTCCCAAATTTCTGACTGGGCTCCTCAGGAATGCACAGCCTGCATGGGAGTGGGGGGAATGGGCAGAGGGTGATTCACTCGCTCCTCTCTCATCAGCTATATAAGGTCACAAGGGGGCCAGAGAGCGGAGGGGCTGTCCTCTCAGCCAGAGATATCCCCAGTGGCTTGCAGGGCTGGGATTTCTCTCCTGATGGCAGGGATCAGTTTGATGGAATTAGCCTGCAATCAGAGTTATTTAGGGAAGGCTGGGGGTAGGGTGGGATGGAGTGGCAGCCCTCTTAACCCTGAGTCAGTAGGTTGAGGAAGGGCTGGGCCAGGGCCTGCTAGTCCTGATGAGCAAGAGGCTGTGAAGAGAGAAGGCCTGAGCGAGGGTGGAAGGGTGAGGTGTCTGGGTTTAGGAAACTCTGTGCTGTTTCTTTCCCACCCCCACCCCAGGCGGCTGCTTCCTTATTCTCTCACCACATCCTGAGCACAGTTCTGGCAGGCCCAAGGCCCAGCCTTCCCCACATAGCTCCACCAGCTTTCCGGCCCCCACCCCAGGCTTCCTGTTTGGCTGATCTGCTTCCGGATCCCCTACTCCCTGACCTAGGGATGGTCACCATCCCTGGTCCTGCTCTATACTAGGTTCCTGGCTCCTGCCAGATGGATGTACATTGTGTTTTGGGACCCAAAGCTTCTTGCTTCCTTTCTCTTCCTCCCAAAGGCACAAACTGACCTCAGTAGGATGTGATCTTTCTGAACACCTCCCCCTGGTAGAATCCTACCTACCTCCTTTGCATCTGCCCAGTCCTAAGGGGAAGGGCTGGTAGCAGTCAGGGGGAACTCTGGAGAGACGGCTGCATATACCATGGCTCAGGGATGGGAGCTTAAGTGATACATGAAGATGAATCTGGGGACCAAATGACCCCTAAGCTTAGCTCAGATCTTTGGTCCCTGTGGTTTTCCACTGACACTAAAGACACGACAAACAAATCTTAGGATGTAGCATGTGGGATGAGGTCTGGAGGCCAGGAAGGGCTTCACAGTCTCTGGGATGGCTCTTGAGGGAATCTCCAGGGGGCTATCAGGCAGGTGGGGCTGGGGGTGGGGGTTGGAATCCACTGCTTCCTTTTCCTGCTGTGTTAGCTTGAGAGACTTCTGAGTCTAGTATATCTGATTGTGGGCCCTATCTTGTCCTAAAGATTTCCAAGCTGGGACTGGTTGGAGTGTCTATGGAAGGAACTGGACCAAGGCCAGGGCCAAGGGGAAAAGTCAGCCTGGCTGCTCCTACTTCCCTGTTAAGTCCTTATTCAATCTAACCTCTGACCCTCTTCTGGCTTCAGCTCTCACTCCCGTCCCCAACTGCCATTGTACTCTCCAGCCCCTCTGGCTTTTAGCACTACACCTCAAAATTCACTTCTCTCTTTTTCTACCCCAAGGAGGGGGAGAGGCCAGGGAGACAGAAAGAGAGGGGAAAACCGACTACAGAGCCAGTTCAGGGAGAGGGGAAGCCCAGAGAGGAAGGACGGGGGAGTAAGGGGTGGGGTATTTTGGAAGAGGAGAAGGCTTTTCTTGTCCCAAGAGAGAAGGGAGCACTGTCTAAAGCAGTGGCCCAGCTGGGGGTGTGTAACCCTGAGGTCACCCACTTCAAATGGCCTCTGTATGCCTCTCCCATGGGGCAGACTCCAGGGTTCAAAAGCCTTCTCTCTGCTCTTTGGCTAGCCCTATTCCGTCCCTCCCTCCCCTCTCCTTGGATGTCCCTACTCAGCTCTGCCCCCACTCTCCCTTGGGGCTGGGAGACCTTCCTCCCATACATCTCTAGGCCATCTCTATGCTGTTTCTCCCTAGAACCCACAACCCACCCTGTCAGCCTCTCCTGGTTTCTTGCCCGGACAATTCACTCTCCTAGAAAAGTATAAGTATTTTCATGCTGGTGATTATGCCATGATAGATTCATGGTTGTCAGCCTCAGCTCACAATCAGATGGGCTGGGTCACACAGACTCAGAGGAAAGGTGAAAAAGAAATGGAGAGAAGAATTCAGCCCCAGGGAAGGGAGAAAGCGCAGCCTGGGCACACCCTGTGAGACACACCCAAAGACAGTGCTTGGTTGCTGGGCAGGCTCCTCAGGGCTCAGAAATGAATGGAACAGGAGAGTAGCAAGAAGAAAGGGGGTGTGTGCAGAGGGAGGAAGGGTGGTGGCAGAAATTAACAAGAAAGAATAAGGGAGACAAGAATACAGGGGTATAAAAATGAAAGACCGAGCGGCACCCAGAACTACTGGCGAGTGGGCTCCTACGAAGTCTGGCTTGGCTGCTCCCTACCTGTTTGTGGTGCCTTTCGGGGGAACCCTTGACAAGGCAGCTGCGATTGAGGCGAAGGTAGCCTCCTAGAACCAAGATCTCCTCAGCAGTCGGGTACCGCTTCTTCCCAGCCCCAGGAACTGCGGCATCAGGCGGGACAGGGACTGGAGGAGTGGCCGGGGCTGCAGGGGGCATAGACCGCCGAGGGTTGACTGTGAAGGTGTGTCCGCTACGGCGGGGGCCCCCGACTCCCGGCCCTGCCTTCACCCCATAGAACAGACGGCTCATGAGGGGATCCCCAGAGGGCTGGGGAACAGGTGGGGCAGGGGGTGGGGGAGACAGAGGGGCTGGTGGTGGGGGCTGGAGTTCCACTGCTTCCTCTTCCTGCTGTCGAGGGCCTCCTCCGGTCCCAGCGTCCTCTGGTGAGATGGGGGAGGGCACAGCGCATCGGTTCTGAAGGGCGCTCAGAGGCCTGCCCTGAACCCCGGCCTCCTCCTCCTTAGCCTCCCTTTCTCCAGGCTCTACCCCAGGAAGCCCGAGCCGCTTCTCAGACGACTCTGAAGATTCTGGCTTCTGACTCTCAGACTCTTTTTCCTTGGGCGTCCATTCTTGCACCTTCCCCGAGTTCAGGGTCCATTTCCACCCTTCTGTTGACTTCAAGCCCCTTTCACCAACCTCCAGTAGGCCAGACCTCGGGTCTGCTGTCTCCATTCCTCCGGTGCTGCTGTCTCGAGCTTCCCTTGTCAGAGTCTCTGGTAGTCCTGAAACCTCTTCCGGGGCCAACTCTGCAACTGACCTCTCTTTTTTTCTCCCACATTCTTCTGAGAAGTCTTTGCTTTCCTCTCCTGAGCATGGCCTCCACTGTGATGCCTCCAGATGTACCGAATTCTGTTCCTGAGACTCTCCATAGTCAGGCCTCCATTTATGGGCCTCTGTCAAGCCCGGCTTCTGGTTGCCAGACTCTCCTGGGCTCAGTCTACTTTCCATCACCTCTGTCCTCTTGGGGCTTCGTTCTTGAGGCTCTACCAGTCTTAGACTCTGCTCTGGAGTCTCTCCAGGACTCAGCCTCCATTTCTGTGCTTCTGACTGTCGGGAGCTCCTGTCTCCCACCTCTCCTGGACTCTGCCTCCAGTCTCGAATCTCCAAAGGTCTGGGGCTAGACTCTCGGGCACCTCCTATGCCCAGCCTCTTCTCTATGGCCTCCCTAGGACTGAGCCTCTCTTCTCTTGACTCTCTTCCTTTGGGACTCAGATCCCGAGTCTCCCCAGGGCTGGGTCTTTGCTCCCGTGCCTCAAGTGGCCCGTGCCTTCGCTCCACAAGCAGCTGCTCTTCACTCCGTTGTTGTTGTTGTTGTTGCTGCTGCTGCTGCCGCTCTTGCCGGATAAATCGGTTCTGATGCACCGGCCCGATGGCCTCCAGGAGAACAGCAGACTCATCTGGGTCTGGAGGTCCAGCCTCCACAGTTCCCGGCACAGGGCTAGGCTCCCCAGGTGACAGTCCAAGTTTGGCGCGGCGGCGCTCCAGGAGCCCCCGCTTCCAAGCTGGCATCTGGGACAGGCGCTCTCTCTCGGCCTTCTCGCGGCCACGCACCGCTGCCTCCTCCTGCCGCCGCCGGGCTAGCAACTGGAGCTTCCAGTCTGGGATGGTGGCCATGGTTGCCTTGGGCTGAGGCTGTGGAGCGCTGGGGGCAGAGGACAGGAAGGAGAGGCTCGTGAGAGAGGCTCAGGGGGTGAGACTGGGTGTGAGGGGAGAGGAAGTGGCGGGGGGAGGTGGGAGACAGAGAAGAGGAGAGGAGCTGAGGTGAGAACAGAGGGAAAAATGGAGACGAGGGGACAGAAGAAGGGAAAATCTGGGAAAGTAAAGAGAGAGGATATGAGCCAAGTTAGGGGGATGGTGAGGTTAGAGGAAGAGTCCAGATTCAGGGCAAAGAGGAAGGAATCAGATTTGGCAGCGCTGGGTTAAGAAGTCTTAGATACCGTCCCAAGGATGTGAGGGGAAGCGAAAAGGGAGAAAAGAGAATTTGGGATGAGGGGTGGGCCAAGTTCAGGTGCGGCTGCCTCACCACTACCCCAGGGGAGGTGAGAGTGGGGAGGTCAAGAGAGTCGCGCTGGGAAAGAGGCGACAGGACTTAGGGAGTGTCAGGGAGGTGAGAAGGGGTCCAAGAGGGAAGAGGTCTAGGGGAGAAGGGGAAATGAGGGGGTAGAAAGGAAAGGAGTGCTGGGGCTGGAGACGGGCGCGCTTCAGCGGGGCCCCGAGACTCCAGGCTCCCGGGTCCAGTGCCGCCCGGCCACGCCCCTCCGGTCCCCCAGCCCCCACCTCCCGCCCCGCACTCCGCCCCCAAGGCGGGTCAAGGGAAATACCCTCCCCCGGGACGCCCCGAACCTGGGCGTTTAGGCTGCCAGCACGTTCCCAGAAGCAGGAGTCCGCCCCCTCCCTGCCCTGTCACCCCCGTCTGCTTGTCCCACGGGCTGCGCCTGGGGACCCAAGTGTGCCCAAGACAGGATCCAAGCCTCGGCTCCTTAGAGCCTGCGAGTCCGGTGCCCAGAACCCCGCTCTCAGGGAATCCCGACCTAGCCGGCCATCCCCAACGCGCTCTGACTGCAGAATCTCTGCACACAAAGAAGAGACAGCCCAAGCTCCGGGACCGGGACGGGAGCAGAGACCAGAGCTAGAACACCTCTCCCCAAGTCTGAAGCCTCTTAGTGAACTCACGCGCTGCGGGCCCTGGGGGAGGGGGTGCAGAAGAGCCAGGCGTCCGGAGAGAAGAGAGAGGAAGAGGAGGAGAGAGGGAGCGAGGGAGATCCGGAGGTGGGAGGGAGGGGAGGAGGAGGGAGAGAGGAGGAGGGAAGGAGGGAGCCGAGGAGGAGGGACAGAGACAGAGACCAGGGGGCCGGGCGGGGGGCGGCGACCGCTTTGTCTGAGAACAATGCGGAGAGGGAAGGGGGCGCGGGGCGGAGCCAGGGGAGAGGGCGGAGCCTCGCTCCCCAAGACCCAGCCTTAAGGTTCCGCGCCCCGGCTCCCTTCTTCTCCCCTGATGGTCTGTGCTCTGTCCTCAGGGGGCGTGACCCCTCCGCCCCCCGGCCCCGGAGAGCCTAAGTGACTAGACCCTCACCCCTAACTCGCCGACACAGGGCGGCGGCCAGTGACTCAGGACCCCCGAGGGAGTTGGGGAGGAAGCGGCAGCTGCTTGGATCCGGAGCCAGGCCCGCCCTTCCCATCTCCTGCAGCTCCTCCCCAAGCCCTAGCCTTCCCGGGTCAGCCTTTGTTACCGCGGGGTCGGGGACCACTGCCGCCCCGCTTTGCGGGCCTGTGTGTATGGGGTGGGGAGGCTGGAAAGGCGCAAGGGGCCAACAGCTTTGGGAGCTTGATCCCCTACCAGGGTCGCAGCCCCACTGTCTTTAGCTTCAAACTATCTCCCAGGGGTCCTCTGGTCTGCAAAGGGAGAACTGGTAGATGTGTGGTAGGGAGACTCGGCTGCTCCGGATAGATGGGGGCGGGGCCGTGGAGAGTGGCAGCCGCCAGAGGGCGCGGTGGCCGGTGGCCGCCCAAACTCACATTTGATGCGGCCAGGCTTTCGCTCTCCACCCTCCAAACCCAGTCCTACAGCCTAAAAGACGCCGAAGACAGCATGCCAGATGTAGAAAAGTCAGGCAAAATTTTATTTTCCTGCACCTTGGAGGAGCAAGGAGCCCTAAGCCACCCGAACGGGAGAGTCCCCTCAACTAGGTCCAGGGGAAGGCGCCCAGGGGCAAGGCCTAGGGAGGTGGAGGCTCGAGGTGTGGGCCCTTCAGGGGCACCCACTACAGACAAACTTGCAGACTGGTCCAGCTCCTTGGGACGGAAACCAGCTATGGAAAAAGGGATCCCTGAGTAACAATGCCAGGGGAGTAGTCAAGGGGGATCCTTTTCCTTCTGGGGAGGCTAGGAAGGGGCTCAAGCTCAAACCCAAAATGGTGAGGGAACAGAATTCCACAACTCCGCTTTAGGGAGAACAGAGGGCCCTGGCTGCTAAGAAGTGGACTTTGGAGTCCAATGCCTGAAACTCCAAATTTAGGTAATGGGGCTGACCTCACGGAATGCAGTCTCAAGTAGGGGAAGGGTCAGCCCCTGGAGTATAGAGACTGGGGCCTCTGGCTTGAAGCAGCCAGCTTGGATGTTGAGAAATTCAGAATTTTAAGGGGAGAGGAAGTACAGGACTTGGAATCAGAAGTGAGCTCTTCACTCAGCCTCCCCATTCTGGGGCCGGGAGAGCAGGTGGAGTTTTCTTTGTAGCTGGGCCCGGAGGTAGCGGAGGTCATGCTGGTCCAGCCCATGAGCCATGCCCAAGTAGAGGGTGAGGAGGAGAGCAAGGAGGAGGCGGTCAGTGCCCAGGGTGGGCACCACCCATAGCACGGTCAGCAGCTCCACACATACTGGATGTCGCAGATGGGAGAAGAGCCTCAGAGCCCGGGGGGACTTCAGGGCCAGCGGCTCCCCCAGCCCCAGAACATGGTAGTACACCTAGGAGATGACGGAGAGCAGTTTGGAAATGGAGTTTAAGCCCTTTTCACAATTTAGCCCCCTCTTTCCTCCTCTCCCAGGCATTGTTCTCCTAGAATTCAGGCCCAGGCACCCTCCTTCTGAGAGCTGGGGCCCTGACACTGCTGTCTGATCCATCCATCTTCCCTAGACCCAGGAAGGCCATGCTTGGCCTCTGAGGATTGGTTAAGGGGAGAGAGTGTCTGACAGGAAAGGGAGGTGAGGGAGTCAAGAGGCAAAGGGAAGGTGGCAGGGCATCAGAGGGAGAGGAAGGAAATTCTTGAAAGGGGAAGAGTTCTAGAAAGGGCTGGAGGCCCCAGGTGGGGATCTGGAAGCCTCACCTGTTTGAGACCCATGAGCTCAGCGTAGTCAAAGACGAGAAGGATGCTGAAGATGAGGAGCCAGGAAATGATGTGGAGCACAAAGCAGAGGAGGGGCACCCAGGTGGCCCATGGCTCAGCTCGAGCCTCCCACAGCACAGGACCTCTGGGTACAGGTTCCCAGTACCGCATCACCAGCTGGGGAAGGATGATGGGCTGGGTATCCAGGCAGCCCACCCTCGAAAGACCCAGACCCAGAGGCTGCCCACTGCAGCTCTCCCCTAGACCCATCATGACCATTACTGACAAATATTCACCACATAGAGGGTGCTGGATAGGGTCCCAAGGATGTAAGGATGGCATATCTCCACCTTGAGGACTAACAGAATGAGTGGGGTGATTAGACAGGTACACAAAGTCTGTGCCAAGCACCCAATGAGAAGACAGAGGAGTACTCACTGGGAAGCTTTCCCTTGAGACTTTAGGGGTGTGGGTTTTGAAGAATGTGTAGGACTGAGAGGAGTTAAGGAAGGTTTCCTAGGCAGGGGAACAATATGAACAAAGCTGCAAAGGTGAAAATGCACATATTGCCGCTTGGGCAATGAGAAATACACCCTTCTTGATAAAGAGTAGGATATGTGCTGTGGAGGAACAGAAGCTGAGATTAGAGTCTTGAACAGTCAGCTCTCCTCCTAAACCCAAATTTTATCAGAAGCCTAAGCTCCACACCCTTCCAACCCAAGGTGTCTTTCCCACAGACCCTATCCCTGACTCTGTTCCCCTGAAGAATTTGCCTGCCAGGCCCCCATACCTGCAAGGCCAGGGCAGTGCATGTCACGTACAGTGACCTCTGCAGGACCCCAAAGTATCTGCATAACCACGCCTTCACTGTCTCAGTTGCCATGAGACTGTGCTGCCCCACAAATAGTAGCAGGAGCCCCAGATCCCAAGCCAGGGGGGCAAGGATACTTCGATCCTGCAGGGCAGCCAACCATCCCTGGCGGGCATCTAGGGGAAGTTGAGAGAGAAAGGGACAAAAGATCAGGAAAATAGTGGGAAGCACCCCTTCACTCTCCATCTCTTAGGGCCCCCAGGGTATGGCCCTTCATGCTTTCAAGAGCCTTCTGGCTTCCTCTCCTGGCCTGCCTACATCAGTTTTCCATTCTCGTTTCATCCCTCTTCCCCAGATTTCCTTCAGAGGTGGAGAAAAAAAGTCACAGAACAATGCAAGCAGGGCAGTTATATGAGGCGTGTCTGGAGAGATCACCCCTGGATTGCTCCCTTTTATTTCAGTTCTTCAAATGCTCCTTCTTTCAAACATTCTTCTCCACAAAGCTCTTTCCTTAAAATACCCTGCTTATCATTTTCCCTCCCCCTCAGTCCTCACTCTCCCGCCACTCTAAACCGCTTATCCCCGAGTTCCTAATTTAGCCCGCAGGTCCCGTCCCCGGCCGCATCTCAGCGCTTCCACCATTACCGTTCCCTCTCCGGGACTTCCCATCTGTCATTTGTCTCCACGCCCCGCCCCCAGGCCATCTCCTCCGGCTCCACCCCTCTGCCCCGGAGTCATCCTCGAGTGCCTCCCGCTCACCAGGGCCAGAATCTGGGACCCCTCCAAGAAGTGGCCGAAGGGAGGTAAAGCGCACGAACTCTACTCCGGTGCCAAAGGCCAGGATGAAAGAGGCCAGGGCAGCAGGGATCAGGAGCAGCGCTGGGGCCATGGCGGGAAACGGAGGGGTGAGGAGAGGGGCGGCCCTAGGCTTCCCGCGGCGGCCCCGGCCCCGCCCTCCGACTGGGATTCCCACCCAGGAGGGCGGGGTCCGGAGCGTCCACAACTGGGCTTCCGGCCCGCCCCGCTCCGCTTGCTCCAGCAGGTGGTGGCGCCGAGGGCTGGGTTCCTATCTCGACGTAACAGAAGGGAATGTTAGAATCCCTCGTGAGCGGTATAAAGGGCAGTGCCTCGGCCAACAGCCACCTCTCTTGGAATTCCTCGGCTAACAATTCTTGTCTTGGAAGGTTCTTGAAGAAACGGAACATTATAAGCCCCCTTTGCTTTAACTTGACTAGAAAGCAACCAGAATGAGAGGTAATAAGCCTCAGCAGTTTAATACTGAACGGGAAGACTGTTGACCTAGGCTGAGAACCTCAAGCTCTGAATCACCTATATTACATCTTGTTAGATCAAAAAAGAGAGAAAAAGGTAGTCACTGTTTTACCACAAAATAATGCTTATCCTGTAACTTAATTACAAAGTTGCTTTCCCACTTACTACGAAGGGCAGTTTTTCTGTAATAATGAAAATTTTGTTCTAATACTTCCAAATCCAAAGACTGTTGACTTATAAACATGAGTGGAGATACATTAAAATAAGTGCAGTAGAAAAGTTTGCTCATTACAATTGTAAACTTTGCAGATTAATTTTATCCACCAAGCTTGTGATAATTAGCTATCTATGACTTCACTCTATAACCCATTAGCTTGACTTCACATCCAGAAAGCACTAAGATTTTTTGTCTTAACATATTCACTATAGACCAAGATTCATATCTAAAAAGCAAAGGAAAAGTTGTTTTCTCCATCAGAATTGAAGCTTTCGTAGTTAAGGACCCACAGTAGGGACCTTAAACATCATTAAGCTAATCCCCTTATAGATAAAAGAGATTAGGTCCAGAAAGATAAAATTGCCAAGGCGAGAATTAAAGGAAACTGGTATTCATGTGGGCAGTTGGCAGCAGTGGTGGTTCAGTGGTACAACTATCACCTCCCATGCTGGGAGACCCTAGTTCAATTTCCAGCTCATATGATGCCACTACCCATCTGTCAGTGGAGTTTTGCATGTTGCTATGATGCTCAACAGGTTTTGGTGGACCTTCCAGACCAAGACAGAGTAGGAAGAAAGGCCTGGAGATCTAGTTCCCAAAATCAGTCAATGAAAACCCTGTGGATCACAACAGTCCAGACCCCAAGCAATCGTGGGGATGGCATAGCACCATGCACCACATGATTTCCTTCCATGAGTTAAGCCTATTTCATGGCAGAAAACAAGAAATGTGGGTTACCCCAGCCTCCACAATGCTGAGACTAGAACTAGATGGTGCCTGGTACCACTGCTGACTGATCTGAAAGGGATCACAACAGGAGGTCCCAGAGAGAGTAGGAGAAAAATGTGGAACAAAACTCAAAATAATAAAAAAGATTAGGCTTACTGGTCTAATAGAGACTGGTGGAACCCCTGAGACTATGGCCCTTACACACTCTTCAAGCCTGGAACTGAGCTCACCTCTGTGGCTCAACTTTCAGCCATATGATAGGCCTACAAGGTGAACAATAACACCAGGGAGGTATACACTCCCTAGAACAGTCAACCATATGAGATCAGAAGGGCAGCATTCACTCAGGGATAAAGCTCAGAAGTCAGGAAGGGATAGGAAAGAGGGACAAATGGAAATAAACATAGGGAGGAAGTGGGAAGAGGGCTGTTACATTGTGGGGATCACAATCAATGTCACAAAACAAAACATGTACAAATGGTTGAATGGGAAACCAATTTGCAAACTTTCACCCAAATAACAAAAGTTTTTTTATTATTTAAAGGCATGTGGGCTGAGAGACAAAAAAATTTTCCAGCATTCCACAGACTGTACATTCCTTTTCCTCCCTCTCCTAGACTCAGTAATCTCACCCTCCTCTGAATCAAAGCTATTATATATACTGCACCACCCTGCTGTCTGACTCAGGAAGTTGTTCTCAATGGACTATATCAATGAAGGCCCCAGTTTGATTGAAGGAGCCCTCTCCACACAGCGGCTTCCCTCCTTCCATCCTTTTGAGCTTAGGAGTGGTCACAGCTCTGGGGTATTGCACTGTTTGTGATTTCTCTACATCATGCCCAATTCTTTGTAATACCATTTTATTAAACGCTTCCCAAACTATTCCTAATTTGACTGTGCCATCCGTTTCTACTAGGACTCTGAGAGGGACATTTATTTCACAAAGCAATGTGCTATAAGATGTGGTATTAGAAGTGTTAAGAAAAAAAAAAAAACCCTATTCTCTAGAAGTTTAATTTGGGGGATGTAAATGGTACCAATCATGAGGTAGGGATGCACCTGAGTGCCAGATGATGTTAAAGAAACAGCAGGTACCATAGGAACCCCCTGGGCGTCAGCAACATGGACAGTTTCACACAGTTGTACAAGGGGTCTAATATTTATTTGGGTCCTGCCATGTGCCATACCCACAGTGGTTGTACTTAATGTATATGATGAAATTTGGTATGTTTAAAAGCCAGCACAGTGCTTGGCAAAGCTACTACACCAAAATTTTCCAACTTGCATGCAGAAAGTGCCTAAAACTAATCAACCAATGTATTTTTTACAATGGTTTTCACAATGTTATACAACCACCACCTCTGTCTAGTTTGAAAACATTTTCATCACCCCAAAATAAAACTCTATCCATTAAGCAGTCACTCTCAATCCCCTACCCTTCTGGGAATAACTACCCACTTTGTCTCCATGGATTTACCTATTCTGGATATTTCCTATAAATGGAATCATATGTGACCATCTGCATTTGGCTTCTTTCACTTAGCGTAATGTTTTTGAGGTTCCTCCATGTTGTAGCATGCATCAAGTACTTCATTCCTTTTAATGGCTGAATGATATTCCATTTTATGTATATACCACAATTTGTTTACCCATTCATCCACTGATGAACATTTGGGATGTTCTCACCTTTTGGCAACCATGAATAGTGCTGCTATGAACATTTTTGTGCAAGTATTTGTATGAGTATAGTTTTCAATTCGTTTGGGTATATACCTAAGAATGGAATGGCTGGTTATTACTTCTATGGTCATATGGCAATTAATTCTATGCTTAACTTTTTGAGGAGCCCCCAAATGGTCTTCTACATGGCTGAACCATTTTACATTCCCACCAGCAATGTATGAAGGTTCCAATTTCTCCACATCCTCAAAATCAACCAATTTTTAAAATTTAAGAAAACATCAAATAATTTTCTCTACATAGAAGATAATGATAAATTAAATACAAGTGCATAGCTATTTTTTTTTTTTTTTTTTTGTCTCTTAAGAACCAGACATTAAAGAAAAACTTCACACCATAAGGCACAGAGTGAATATTTATTATCACAGAGGTCAAGCTTGTTGTTGTTGTTATTTGCCGTCGAGTCGGCCCCGACTCATAGCGACCCCTCCTTGGGTTTCCGAGGCAGTATCACTATGGAAGTAGGATTGCCCAACCTTCCTTCCGAGGAGTGGCTGGTGGGTTTGAACTGCCAGCCTTCTGGTTAGCAGTCAAGTGCCTTAGGCACTATGCTACCAGAGCTCCTGAGGTCAAGCTTAAGCTCTTACTTTATAAATACTGGAAATGCAGCCAGAAAAGTTCAGAGACTTGCTCTAAGTCAAAGCTAAAGGATGTTTCTAACCAGGTAAGACCACTAGAGAGGAAAATATTTTAGTAGCATTCCAAAACTCTGCCCTCCAATCTACGTCTTTTGGAGAAGGAAGAATCCCAGTAAGAAAAGAGGAAGCAATATGGCCTTCCATGTGTGTCAAGGAGCAATAACTAGATCAGTTTGGCCAAAAATGAGCAGCCATTTAAGATTCTAAGGATTAAATGGCTATTTTAGGAAATTTGTGGTTCCTAATCTGCTTATTTCTGTCCACCCCTAAACCTTTCCCGCCCCACCCAGGTTCCAGGACAAGTTGTATTAGTACACCCCAATCATTTTCAAAGCCCTGGGTTCATTCTTCCCAACATTTTTTAAATTTTATTTAAGTCTGGGAGGGAAAAGGGCACTGGGGTGTTCAGGTGGGTGACATTTCCAAAGTGGAGAGGATGAAGGCCTCCGGGTTGGCTTCCTGCTTCAGCACTCCTGTCAGCAGGAACTCGGGGGACAGGAGGGGTAGCCCAACCCGGAAGGGAATGGCGCATCGAGGGAAATCCTGGGAGCATGTGATCACAACTCTCTGAGGCTGAGGAGAGACAGAGAGCAGACCGGAAGTTGGCCATGGCAGAGAATCTTAGAGGTATCTATGTTTAGGTCCCACTAATCAGTCTTAGTATCACTAAACTAGTACTTCCTGAGATGAAGCCACATGAAGCATACTGTATTGTCTATGAAGTATTCTTGACCAAAAAGTTGAAGCTGAATTGATTCAAACTTTGAAAGTTAAGTACAGTTTATTGGAAATACAGAAGATGAAAAGCAAAATAAATGGTACAACAAGGGAGCAAATAGAACCCAGAATGTGGAACATTCTAAAGGACAACTGACCTACTTTCTGCAGGAAGTCAATGGCATAGAAAAGGGTTGAGGGGCTGCAATAGAGTAAAAGGGAATTAAGTGATGTAACAATTGTGGCAATGCACAGCTGTGGATCCTGTTTGGAACAACTGTAAAAAAACATTTTATAGATAACTAGAGAAATTTGGTTAATGGAATGAGTATGAGATGGTGACTGAGAAATGGCTCATAATTTTGTTAGGGATCAATATTGGGATTTTGAGTATTTAAGAAAAAGTACATATTTTTAAGATTTTAAGTATGTTGTTGTTGTTGTTAGGTGCCACTGAGTTGATTCCAACTCATAGTGACCCCATGTGACAGAGGAGAACTGTCCCATAGGGTTTTCTAGGCTGTAATCTTTACAGAAGCAGAGTGCTAGGTCTTTCTTCTGTGGAGCCACTAAGTGGGTCTAAACCGCCAACCTTTTGGTTGGCAGCTGAGCACTGAATCATCGTGCCACCAGGGCTCCTCACTTAGGTACACAGGAGGAAATAATATGGTGTTTGCTTTAAAATACCTCAGCAAAGAAAATGAAACAAAAAAGGGATAGATGAAGTAAATATAGCAAAATCTAAATAACTGCTAAGATTAATTGTGGGAGAACAGAAGGGCAGTGTTTACACAGAGAGATAGATGGGAGGGTAGGGAATGGGCAGGAATGCACAGGAAAGAAGGACACAGGAAAGAGATAACTACAGGGATGAAGTGGGAAGAGAGTTGTTACATTGTGGGGAATTGCAGTCAATGTTATGAAACAAAATGTGTATGAACTGCTATATGGAAAATGACTTTGCTCTGTAAACTTTCACCCAAATCACTCACTCACTCACACACAAAGTTAAAATAATTAAGTGCTGAATCTGAGCAGTTAGTACATGGGGGTTCTGTTTTTGTGAATATTTACATTTTTTTAAGTAAAAATAAGTCCATGTGGTAACATCAGACATTTTCCCTCATTCCCATCCATGTCTTCCCTCAATCTTAATTATCCTGCACTCCCATGGGTACCTCCATTTCTTCCTCCAGCCTTTCCCCATCCAGCCAACTCTTTAAACACCACCTCACCAGATCCAAAACACACCACCATACCTTATAGGACCGTGGCATGTTAGGCAGGACAGTGCCTCCACAGCAGCTGATGATCTCTCCCATCTGAGGTGGTGGCGGCTGGACTCCAGGGGTCATATGAATCTCATAGCCCTAAGAAGAGGAAAATACTGGGGACAGTAGATGCATGCTCTGAGAGGGCATGGACCTGAAGGAAACTGCAGAGGGAGAACGGGAGCACAGGGCAGAAGAGAGCCTCTCACCTCCAGCAGCCTTCGCTTCTGAGCGCGGCTTAGGGCATCCCGAAGGCTGAAGCCAAAGTTCTTCTCCTGCTCAGGATCAGTCACCACGTATTCATCCGGAGGCAAGAAGCAACCAGCCTTGCGGGACTAAGGAAGGTGGCAGTCACCATTAAAGCCCAGCCCAGCCCTCACCCAGCTCTTCTGCCTAGCATTTGTAGGGAGCTTATGAACTATCTTTTGAATGAAGATCTGTTTCACTGAATCTCCCTGTCTTCCTGTACCCCTTTTCCTCCACCACTGCTTTCCAGAACGCTGTATGAGCAGTCTTATCCTGCCACAATCCCTGTATCTGTTTATTATTATCTCTTGGCTTCTGACCTGGTGCAGCCAGTCCAGGGAGAGGATAGGGATCCCCCGGCCCAGGGCACACAGGAACTTGACTGTCCGACGGATTCGATCAGTGACCAAGTGTGAAGCCTCTGTCACTGAGCTGGCCAGACTTCCACCCAGGGCCAGCACAGCCCGCTCTCCGCGCGCATCCACCACTCCTGTGAAGAGCACCTGTGGACACAGCCTAAGATCACAGCAACCCCCGCCAGCAGTGCCCACTCCCCTCCCTCCAATCTCTGTCTGCTACCAAGCCCCTTGCCCACTCTCTCTTACTTTCGGGGCTGATTCTTGGTTAGGTTTGGTCTGTCGGAGGCTGCGGCTCTGTGTTTCCTTGGGCTCCTCCCCTGTCTGGTCTCTCTTTCTTTTACGTGGTCCTGGAATCACTACATTCTGGGATCAAGAAAGATCTCAGTGGGAATTTCTGAGCTTCCACACCCTTCTTCCTAGTTTCATGGCTCTAGCCCTCTCCTTACCTCTTTCTTCCCTGGCCTTTCTGTAGAATCTTCTCGTTCTTCCTCAAGGAACTCTGCCTTCTGGGGAACTACCTCTCTTTGAGGCCGTTTTTGAGGTGGCGGTGAATCCATGGTAGCCAAAGTCCTCTTGCGGCTCCGAGAGGCCTTAGGCTGGGGCTCTGGGGAATACCCAGGTCTATCTGTTGTCTCCACATTTTGGATCTGGGGAGCATGAGTAGGTGCCTCAAGAAGCTGAGGACAGGCAGGCTCAGGAACGGCCCTGAGGGACTCAGCTGCTCTCACTGCTCCTTGTCCTCGTCTCCTTGAGGGCTGGGATTTAGGATCAGGTGCAGAGAAGGGTTCATGGGCAACGGGAGCTGTGTGAGACTCTTGCTTCCTAGTGGCCCTCTGTCTCCTGTTGTAGCTGGCTTGTGGAAGGGGCTGAGGGGGAACAGGCTTGTCCGTGGGGCCAGGAGACTGGAATTCAGGGGTTATAGGAATTGGCACCACACTTACTATGGAAGACTTTAGTGTCTTGCTCTGACCACCCTGAGCTAGGGGCTCAGGACTGACATGCTCTGTGGGGGTGGGAGATTTGAGACCAGGGGTTGTGGGTTCAACTGGTTCTAGGGTCTTGACAGAAGACCTAGGTGTCCTGCCTTGAGTGGTCTGTAATATGGGCCCAGGGGTGACAGGCTTATATGTGGCACTGAGAGGTTCAAGATTAGGGGATACAGGGACAACTGGTTCAGGGGTCTTGACAGAGGACCTACATCTCCTGCCTCGAGTAATATAAGATGTGGGCGTAGGGGTGACAGGCTGATGTGTGGAGGTGGAAGGCTGGAGCTCAGGGGCTGTGGGTCCAACTGGTTCAGCAGTCTTGACAGTGGACCTACGTGTCCTGCCCCGAGTGGCTTGTGATGTGGGCTCAGGGGTCACAGGCTGATCTGTGGCAGTGGAAGGTTGCACCTCAGAGTCTGTGGGTTCAACTGGTTCAGGGGTCTTGACAGAGGACCCATGTGTCCTGCCTCGAGAGGCCTGAGATGTGGGCTTGGGGGTGACGGGTTGGTCTGTGGAAATGGAAGGCTGGAGTTCTGGGACTATGGGTTCAAGTGGTTCAGGGGTCTTCACAGAGGACCTAAGTTTCCTGCCTTGAGTGGCCTGAGATGTGGGTTTAGGGGTGACATGCTGGTCTATGGGAGTGGAAGGCTGGATCTCAGGGGCTGTGGGTTCAACTGATCCAGGAGTCTTGACAGAGGACCTATTTGTCTTGCCCCGAATGGCCTGAGATGTAGGCTTTGGGGTGACAGGTTGGTCTGTGGGAGTAGAAGGCTGGAGCTCAGGGGTTGTGGGTTCAACTAGTTCAGGGGTCTTGACAGAGGACCTATTCGCCCTGCCCCGAGTGGCCCGAGATGTGGACTTTGGGCTGACAGGTTGGTCTGTGGGAGTGGAAGGCTGGAGCTCAGGGGTTATGGGTTCAGTTGGTTCAGGGGTCTTCACAGAAGACCTATTTGCCCTAGCCCGAGTGGCCCGAGAAGTGGGCTTTGGGGTGACAGGCTGGTCTGTGGGAGTGGGAAGCTGGAGCTCAGGGGTGGTGGGTTCAACGGGTTCAGGGGTCTTGACAGAGGACCTATTTGTCCTGCCCCGAGTAGCCCGAGACGTGGGCTCTGGGGTGACAAGCTGGTCTATGGGAGTAGAAAGGTGGAGCTCAGGGGCTGGGGGTTCAACTAGTTCAGGGGTCTTCACAGAGGACCTAAGTTTCCTGCTCCGAGTGGCCCGAGATGTGGGTTTGGGGGTGGCAAGCTGGTCTGTTGGGATGTGAGGGTGGGGTTCAATAGCAGAAACTGGAGAAGGTGTCACCCTAGCAGATCCTCGGGGCCTGACTTTAGGCTTTGGGTGGAGAGGCTCCAGCTCTGAAGACAAAGGAGTCGCTAGGGGTTTTGGATTCCCCTTCCGCCCAGTCTTGGGAATGGATGCCTCTGAAGATAGAGACGGGGATAGCAGGGACTGAAGTGCAGGCTGTTTTTGGCTCTGAGAGAAAATGGGGTTCTGAAGTGTGGTTGAGGCTTCAGGCACTGATGTAAGCAGAAAAGTGTCTGGGGATTCCTGATCACCCTGGGGAGAAAAGGAAACAGGTGAGGGAGGAAGCGGTAGACAGAAAACAGACAGAACTCAGATAGTGGCATTACAGTTAAAGTGTGCTTGCTGACATCTCTCTTCCATTAGACTGGGCACTTCCTGAGGAGAGGAATAGTCCTCTTTCCCATGGAGCTTTCCTCATAATACTAGTATAATATTCTCTACATATGGAGGACAGTCATGATGAAAAAGTGTGGGTGGAAGAGGAAATAATAAGAAAAGGACTTTCATTCTCAGTTAGGGAGAGAGAGAGATCATGGAAAACAATGTGTGTCAGTAAAGGGGTAGATACCAACTAAACCAAAACACCAAACCGCCAGCCACTGAGTTGATTCTGACTCACGGTGACTCCATGTTTGCAGAGCAGAATTGCTCCAAAGGGTTTTCCAGGCTATGAACTTTCAGATCACAATACTTGTCTTCTGAGGTGCCTCTAGGTGGATTTGAAATGCCAACCTTTTAAGGTTAATAGTTGAGTGCTTAACTGTTTGTGCCACCCAGGGACTCCAGAAACCAACTAAGGACTGATGAAAATGGAAGAAAATGGAGAAGATGTGGAATACAGGGCAAAGAGTAGACACAATCAAGGTCAGGGGAAAGAGCAATGAATGGAAGAGATGTAGAGGTTAACATGGAAGCGTAGGGGGAGGTAGAGAAAGCAGGTCTCACCCTGGAAGCCTTCTCAGCAGATGGCATCTTGCAATTCAAGCAGCCTAGACAGAAAGTAAAGACAAGGGTAGCTGAGCTCTAAGCAGTCAGTTGCTCAGGACTGATTAATGGGGACTGTGTACCACCTCGGGATCCCTCTGCCATTACTTACCTCTCTGCTGCCTTCTGGGGCTCACTGGGGCTGCCCTTCCTCTACCTAACTGGCTTCCAGAAGATACTGGGGCTAGAGGTAGTCCTTGAAGGGCCCCTGCCCCAACTCCAGGCTCTGGTGTTAGAAGGGAGGCTTGCCCTTTCTGGTCCTGGCTCCCACCCTCGGTCTCCCCTCTCTGTGTGTCTGTCTCCTCCACTTTCTCTTTGGGTACTTTTACTTCTAACCCTGCTGGCTCACTCTCTCTCGCCAGTGCTGGTCTCTCTGCTTCTGTCTCAAATATTTCTCTTGAAAGGGTCTGCTTCTCTTTCTCTTGTATTTCCTTGGATGTCTCCATTTCTACATTCAAACTTTTAATATCATTTTCAATGTTTGCACTTTTTACCTTTGTATTAGACTCTAGTCTCTGAGGATCTCTAGATAACACCTGTTTTTGTTCCCTGTCCTGTAGCCCCCTGGTTAATTCTCCATCTCCTATCCCACCTTCTCGCTCTCCTTCTGGTGGCAGTTTCTTGGTTTCCTTCTCTAAGGGCTCTCTCTCAGGGGTCACCTTTCCTATGGTTTCTCTTGGCATACCCAGGCCTTTCTCCTCAGTCTGCATTCCTCTGCCTTGAATCCCTAGTGACTCTGTATGAACTGGGCTCTCTGGATATTGGTCTTGTGAAGTTCCACTGCATGGAGAGGGACAAGTTCCTCGGGCTTCAAGGTGGGCCGCAGTGTGCTGGGTTTCAGAAGTCTCTGACTCTCTTGGACAGAATGGCTGTGTAGCCAATTCCTCCCACGGCTCATCCAAGGTACCTGGCAATAGTCACATACAAGAGAGAAAATGAGGTAGAAATGAGACTGAGAAGATAACACACTGAGTAAGGATTAAGATAAATTCATGGATGATAAATCTAAATAGGTTATTAAAAGAAAGCTGGGAATAAGGATGACAGCTCAAAAATTTAATGTTGGTCTCAAAAAGTTAAGCCAATACCTTCACATAAAACCTCCTTTATTGTTGTTGTTATTTTGCCGTCGAGTCGGCCCCGACTCATAGCGACCCGTCCTTGGGTTTCCGAGGCAGTATCACTACGGAAGTAGGATTGCCCAACCTTCCTTCCGAGGAGTGGCTGGTGGGTTTGAACCGCCAGCCTTCTGGTGAGCAGTCAAGTGCCTTAGCCACTATGCTACCAGAGCTCCCAAAACCTCCTTTAGTAGCCCTTAAAAATGACACTAGGTTAGTTGGTCTATGGATCTGACTCAATATGGCATTTTTTTCCTAATGAAATGGAGACACACTAGCAAAACAATCAAAGAATAGAAATGTGCAGAGAGATAAAACCAGAATGGATGCAAACTTAGAGGCGTAGACGAGAAAGAAGTTTCTTGTACCTGGGATCTGGAAGCTGCAATGGGAAGGGCCAGTTTCTTCTTGGGGTAAAGTAAACAGGAAGGTAGGTTCTTCCTCTATGCTCTCTATTGCTGCACAAGAAAAGATGGCCTACGCACACCTCTTCCATAAAACCCCAGAATCCCAATCCCAGTCTTCGGCCCTACCCACTCCAGCCTTCACAGCCTTGATACAAGAGTCATCAATCTAGTCTTCTAGTTCCTACTAGCACCAGTATCCAACCAACAAAGATAGCCTCACCTTCCAGTCTCAGATTCTCTCTCTCCACAAAGCATTGGGTAGCTTGTAGGTCCAGATCTTCAGAATCTGGTGGGGAGGAATACAGGACAGATAACAAAAAATTGTATTTGATCCTTAACTCCTTACTTTATCCCTACTATTCTGTCCCCAACTCCAACCTCTACAATCATTCTTTATTTTAGGGGTCAAGAGAGAGAGGAAGAAATGCCAGCCAATACTTACCATCATGGCTGTCCTTAGAGTCCTTGGTCCTGTTTGCATGTTCTCTCTCCCTTTCTGTGGGGGTCTGGGCTCCCTCTCTATGTGGCTGGCTGGGGTCCCCTGGAATGCCTGTGACCACCACCAGATCTGTTAGGTTCTCCCTTGAGACAGGGAGGTCTTGCTCTGGTGCTGCCACAGATGGCCTATCCTGGGTCCCTGCCTCAAGAACTTTCTCCTGCTTAAGAACAGCTGCAGCCCCCTCTGTCACAGCATCCCCTTCTGCTGGAAGCTGGTTCTTTTTTACATCTGCCAATGCTGAGGCCACAAAGGACGTATTCTTCTCCTCATCTGCTTCGAAGTCCTCATCTGGAGGAGGCCGGGCTCCCTCTAGGTACACTACAGGCAGCTTTGCTGGGCCCCCTTCTGCTTCCACATGTGTTTGATTTGTCCCCTCCACAGGTGCCTGATGCTTCTCCAGATGTAGCTCCAATGGGACAGTCGGCTCTAATAGGATTTCCTCCTCCATTTCTGTGTTGATATCTATTGTCATGGAAGCTTGGCTTCTTTCCAGGTAGGCCCCAGAAGAGCCCTTCTCTCCCCCTACATCTATATCACCGTCCCTAGGAGGAGATTGGCTCTTTCCTGAATGTGCAGTAACAATGTCTCCATCCTTGTCTGTGCGACCCTTGGGGACAGTCTGTCTCTTTTCCACTGGGTGTCTCTCCTCCTCCACATCTGTGTCACTGTCTCTCTCACCAGAGGTTTGGTTTTGCTCCAGAAGGACCACAGATGAGGGGGCCCTGTCCACTTCCACCTTTGAGGCTCTGTAGTCTGTCGCGGCTCGCCTCTCTTTCAGACGTGCCAAAGTGAGTGCTGCTAAGACTTCTTCCTCATCATCTGTATCACTGTTGATCACCATGGAGCTTTGGTTTCTTTCCAGATGGACTACCAGTAGGTCCTCAACTTGCTCCACATCTGTACCACCACCAGCCTGGCTCTTATGGATATGTTCTGAGGTGGACGCCTCAGGATCACACAAACCAACTCCATGGAAGATATGCTTCTTCTTCATTGGAACTAAAGCTGGGGTCGCAGGGATTCCCTCTTCTTCCACATCAGTATCACTGTCACTGAAGCCAGAAGGCTGGCCCCTTGCCAAATGGCCCTCAGGTGGTCTTCCTGGAGGCCTGTTGTCCTTATCCACACCTGTGTCACTGTCCTCCCCAGCAGGGTGACTTCTTTCCAGAATCATCCCGACTGGCACCACCACATTGCCTGTATCCCTCTCAACTTTTGTGTCACTGTCCCTCTCTTTTGCTGAAGGCTGATCTTTTTTAAGCTGGAGTTCAGCTGTGACTCCATTAGCATCAGGCTGCTCTGCCCCTGCAGGGGCACCTCTTCTAGCAGCTGAAGAAGCCTCTACTGATGCTGGCTGCTGACCTTCATCATCTGTGTCACTGTCCAAGTCAAAGGCAAAGGCTGCCCCAGGGACATCCAGGGCAGAGGAAGCCCCCTCTTCATCACTGCAAAGGAGAGAGAAAATTCTATAGTCTATTTCTATAGTCAAGTTTCTTTTTTCCTCACTGAATTTTTATTAAGATAAAGATAAATTACATAAGAGTACCTGGCCAATAATAGATTTTCAATAAATGATACTTTCAAGTCCTAACAACAATAATGTCCTTGAATCTACCAATAGAAACTATACTCATTTTTTACTTAAAATATTGAGAAATAAAGGGCAAGAAGTTTTGCTATTCAAAATCAGTAAGAATCACAAAATTTCATGCTGAATAGTCACAACTATAAACTGGTGAAATGTTTCCAGAAGACAAACATAAAAGATGTTTCACGATCAATCCTACTTGTTTAAAGGGCAGACAAAAGTTCATTTAACTGACAACACTGTGGGCCACTGCTTTGAATCAGCATTTCTTTCCCCAGAGTCCATTTTGAGATTTCAAGAAAGTAGAAAGCATTCAAACTTTTCTTTTTTCTTCCACTTATTGCTGCTTTCTTCCATCAGTCACTAAAGGCTGTGGATGATTCTTCCCTCAGGAACTGTCTACTATGGTGCAGGATCGGGCAATGTTTTGTTTTGTTACATACAGGGTTACTATGGGTCAAGTCAACTTGATGGAACTGCAAGCTTCTTGAGGGCAGATACAAGGCAGTATTTGTTTCTCTATCTCCAGCAACATTATTATTGCTACCCCACTTGACACATCTGAGGTGCTCAATAAAAATTCAGCAGCGGGAACAAATAGTCCCCTAGCTCCCATTTTCAGAATACTCTCTGTAAAGAAATGTAATCTTCCAACTTCTGGTTTCTCCTTCTTTTAAGACTCCCTTCAGCACTCACCTCTCTGGAACTACTGTTGCCAAAGGGGAGGATATGGTTCTTGATCTTTTTACCACAGAGCTTTCAGAAAGCGATTCTGTCAAGAGTAGAAAGGAAAAAGTAGATAATTTTACACTCCCTGCCCCCATCTCTTCACCCACACTCCCAACACCACAAACTTACCTAATTCTTCTTCTGAGTCCTCAGCCAACAGAAGCCCCTGGGGTCGAGTTCCTCCCTGGACCCTGGGTGTCTTCTCTACAGTTAGAGGGCCCCGGGAGGCAAAAGGTGGGGGAACAACCAGGCGATGGTACTGGCAGGGCAAGTCAGCAAAGAGAATCAACTCCCGGTCCCTGAGACGGTGACTCACTCCAGGGCTCAGGACTTTAGGAGGCCTCAGGATCTGAGTACCATTGAGGCTCCCACAATCCCGGAGGACAGGTGCCTTGTCCCAGGCCAAGATCTCAATCACTGCATGTTGTTTGGAGATGGACGGAAAGGGCAGGGCCACAGAGCAGTCAGGCATTCGGCCTACCACATTCTTCCCAAGATATAGCGGAAAATCTAAGAATTAGAGAGGTAGATAGGTTCCAAGGCCCAAGTCCTGGCCTGTTCTTAGGAAAATGTTCCTGTTACATGCTCCACTAGTCATGTGGTCCACACATGCATTAGAAAACTAAACAGCCCCAGAATATCTAGGCATTGAAGTGTACATGCAATGCATTATTCATACTCAACAATCAACCAGCCACACTGGGTTTTTATTTGAATCTCTTCATCTTCTCCCACCAAAGTAAAATCAACCCCAGAGCCCAGGGTACCAGATTGGAACAATCAACAATCTTCTCTACTCCCAGTAAAAAGTTTTTTGGGTCTCCTCTTGTAACCCTCCAAAACCTCCCCATAAAAATAAAAGGTCTATACTGATACTAAGGAGCTTTGGTGGCACAATGGTTAAATGCTTGGCTGCTAAATAAAATGGCAGTGGTTTAAACCCATCAGTACCTGCACAGGTAAAAAGACCTAATGATTTGCTCCAGTAAGATTAAGCCTAGGAAACCCAATGGGGCAACTCTACTCTGTCCTATAAGACCATTACAAGTTGTAATCGACTAGAAGGCACACACAACAATACTAATACTTCAGCACCTGACCTTTCTCTGGTCCACGGGCACTGCTGAAGATATGCAGTCGCCCTACGGGCTCCAAGCTGCACTCCACGGATTCAGTGGATTGCTCTGTCTCCTCCTCTTCTTCAGCCTCCCAGTCAACAACCTGAGTGTCCTCCATGATCTGGAAAGGAACATCCCCATCATTAGTTCATATACACAGCCTCAGAGAGGAGAATGCTAACTGGGGGTAAAACTGGATAGTTATGGAAGTTGATGATTTTCTTTCCGCCAATCATTCTGTTGTTACCCTTCTGAAGTAACTTTCAAATATTTTCTTGTGTTGTTGTTGTTATGTGCCGCTGAGTTGGACCTGACTCATAGCGACCTCTCCTTGGATTTCTGAGGCTGTATCACTATGGAAGCAGATTATTCAACCTTCCTTCCGAGGAGTGGCTGGCGGGTTTGAAGCACCAGCCTTCTGATTAGCAGTCAAGTGCCTAATATGCTACCTGCGCTCCCTAGTATATAAATAAGGGGCTCTGGTGGCATAGTGGACAAGGCATTTGGCTGTTAACCAGGAGGTCAGTGGTTCAAACTCACAAGCTAATCTGCAGAAGGAAGATGAAACAATCTCCTTCTGTAAAGATTTTCAGCCTCAGAAACCCAATGGAGGTCGCTATGAGTTGGAATAGACTTGATGGGTAGACTTTAATCTAATCTAGTCTAGTGAGTTTGGTTTGAGTATACAAATAGGAAGTCTGGTAGTACAGTGGTTAAAGCATTTAGCTGCTAACTAAAAGTTCAGTGGTTCAAATCCACCAGCTGCTGCATGGAAGAAAGATGAGGCAATCTGTTTCTGTACAAATTTACAGCTTGGAAACTCAATGGGAGTTGCTATGTGTCAGAATTGACTTGATGACA